GGGGTTGGGGGGGGGTTGGAGGAGGGGAGCCAGGGACGGGATCTCCTCCTGGCTTGGGGAGGGGGATGGGATCTGGGGGGTTAGAGCAGGGAGGGCTGGGAGCCAGGACTCCTGGGATCCATCCCAGCTGTGGGAGGGAAGTGAGGACTAGTGGTTAGAGGAGGGGGGCTGCTGGGAATTCTCTTCCCAGCTCTGTGGTGGATTCCCCGGAGTCCTCCCCTGCTTGTAATGGGGGTAGCAATGCTGCGGGGCTTGGGGAGGGGGATGGGATCTGGGGGGTTAGAGCAGGGAGGGCTGGGAGCCAGGACTCCTGGGATCCATCCCAGCTGTGGGAGGGAAGTGAGGACTAGTGGTTAGAGGAGGGGGGCTGCTGGGAATTCTCTTCCCAGCTCTGTGGTGGATTCCCCGGAGTCCTCCCCTGCTTGTAATGGGGGTAGCAATGCTGCGGCTGGTCTGGGGAGGGGGAACATTCAGGGCCCAGCCAGGGGGGTGCTGGTTGCTCTCCAGGCCCAGGCGTGATGAACCCAGACCCCCCGCAGCCTCGGCCTGTCCAGAGCGCTCAGCCGGAGCGGACACGCCTGGAGCAGTTCCCAGGTTCAGTGGGCAGCAACCCCAGGTCCTGTCCCACTGCCAGAAGTGGGCTTCCCCATAGCCTCCAGGCCCTGCCTGCCCTGCCCCGACTCGCACCCCCTGGGGCAGGAGAACAGGGGGAGCTGGGGGCCCTTGCTGGGCCAGGTAGAGGAGAATCACATGAGCAAGCGACTGCTTGGCCCCCTCTAAACTCCAGCCGGGGGGCTGACATCAGTGGGTGTTTCCCTGGCAGGGAGAAGCTCTCTGCCGAGCTCCAGTCTTGGCTCCTGACAACGAAGGACGAGATCCAGGGGCTGTAACCCTGAATCCGCCCTGGGCAGCTCCGTGGGCTGGGCGTTCTCCGTTCCAGAGGCGGCTGATTTCCAGGGAGCAGCTGGGAGCGTCCTGGCAGGAGCGCCCCGGACGCAGGCCAGCGCTAATTGGCCGGTGGCTCCAGGACTCTGCCAGCGAAAGCCCAGGACGCGGAGCGATAGGATCTCCCCGGAGCAGGAGCCTTTGGCCCTGTCATTGACACACTGCCTGGAAGGTCCAAAGACTGACTTTAGGGGGGACCGTTGAGGCTGTCTCAGACCACAAGGGAACCGAGTTTGTTTGGGCTCAGCGGGATCCCCATAGGAGCAGGAGCATGTCTCAGAGCTACTGCGCAGGGCGGTGCCATTCGGAAGTGTTCACTTCTGCATGGGGGCACCCAGGATTGGGATACCACAGGGGGTTGCGACTCAGGCTGGAGGGACCCTGGCAGAGCTGAGGGAGAGGCGGGTGGGTTTGGGACAGAGGGGGGGTGCAGCTCAGAGTGGGGGGG